GCAGCCCTGGTGGGTGCAGTCCTGGTGGGAGGCAGCCCTGGTGGGTGCAGGCCTGGTGGGAGGCAGCCCTGGTGGGTGCAGGCCCGGGTCCGGCCCCTCCGGGTCATGTTGCTTTGCTGGCTGCTACTGGTTCCCAAATCTGGCCCCACACTGCCCACTAATGCAGCTGTGCTCTTGTCCCTACACAGTTCATGAACCAGCCCACACCCACTGTAAGCTGTAGCTGGATCTGGCCTAAGTTCTGGCCCTAACCCCCCAAACCCCCAACTTGGCCTTATCTTGACCTTAACCCAGATTCTCATGGACTGTATATAATTGGCCCCCACACCAACCCACCCCTGGGCACACTGGTTTCCTAGCCCTGCCCAGAGCTCTCCTGCTGTCTGGCTGCAGATGGGCGTCACCTTGATCCCTGGATCACCTGTGATCCTTGACCACAGAGGAGCTGCCTGAAGAGGGTGGCTCATTCCTATTATCAGGGTAACCTGTCAGAACAGATGTCCTGTGGCTAGTGAGGGCGGTGTCCTCACCTGTGTGCACGTGGGGTGGGCAGGTGCGCCTGGGCCGCTGCTCTCTCGAGGACACCCAGCTTCCCCAAGGAGCAAGTGCAGTGGCCCGCTCTGCTGGTGGGCAAGGGAGCTGCCCTCCAGAGGCCTCCAGAGCCCACCTAGTCCACAACCCCTGACCCTTTGAGGTGACTTTGTTAACCTCATTTCAGTCAAACTCGGCTATTCTCACTGCCAGGGTGGGCAGCTGGTGGGAGGAGAGACCAGGGTCTCTGCAGCCTGGAGGGGTCTTTGCTGTGCCCAGGGCAGGTGGGAGAGGGAAAGAACCTCTCCTGTGCAGACGATTGTGCACCCGGGCATAGAGACCGGAGAAGGGAGAGGTCCCGGGGTCAGGGGTAGAGAGGGCCACAGAGAGAGGTAGACCAGGCAGAAAGGGTAACAGTAGCCTGAGAGCCTGGGAGAGGGATGCTTGAGGAGTGTCTGAAGCCTGGGCCTCAGGAAGGGAGGAAATAAGGATGTGTGGGCCCCCCTGAAGCCCCTGTGCATCCCAGGACAGGCCCCTGGTCAGAGGAATGGGCTGTTTCCTCTGCTGGCCTGCAGGCAATGAGATACGGGCTGTCAGCTGCGGGAGGCTCCGTACCAGCCACTGAAACATGCTCAGTGTTGAATGAATGAACGAACGAACGAATGAATGCAAGCAGTGCCCTCCTTCCTGGGACAGAAACCCTTGGGCTGGACAGGCAGGGCTGGGGAAGGCCTCATGTAGCTGGCAGGAGCAGAGGGGGGCATCTTCCCAGGGCTCTGGCCCCTCACCCTGGCGATTGTGTTCTCTGTCTGCCCTCATGCCCACACCAGACCTGCTCCCTGGCCTCCCCTGTTACCTGGGCTCACAGAACCACAAGGACTTTGGTGGTGGGGTGGNCTGCCCTCATGCCCACACCAGACGTGCTCCCTGGCCTCCCCTGTTACCTGGGCTCACAGAACCACAAGGACTTTGGTGGTGGGGTGGGCAAGCGTGGTGGTGAAGTCCTCTCCTCTCCTGTAGGGCCGGCACCAAACTGCTGGGGGCCTGCTGTCCAGAGCTGAGGGTTCCAAACCAGGAGCGCCAGCGAGGTGGGGCGGGAGCTGGAGGGGCTGTGTCGGTCCAGGAAGGGCCTAGAGCTGGCACACCGGCAGGGGTTGNAAGGGACTAGAGCTGGCACACCGGCAGGGGTTGGGGCTGGAACCAAAGGCACAGGGCCAGGCTGCCTCCCCCCTCCATCTGCACACCCAGGACGAGGACGGAGGAGCTGCGCGAGGCCCGGCGGTGTTCCGGCCTCATGACTCAACCGCCGCCCACGGCCCAGGTGCAGGCTCGCCTCCGCACCTGTCCTTACCTGGGTCCCCGCCCCCCTCAGCCCAGGGAGCCCGGCGCTCACATTTCATTGACAAATAAGAGGAACTGACACTCAACACATCCTTTGTGGCCAGCATTATTCCTGTCGCCTGAAACCAGAGCCTGAGGCCGCGCCTGAGGCTGCAGTAACCTGCCTGAGCCCAGCTCGTGAGAACAGAGCTGGAGTGAGACAGTCCGCCGGAGCCACCACCTGCTGGCTTAAGCCTTGGGCACATGCCCCCCCCCCACCTCCGCCTTGCTCAAGGGACAGTGACTAGATCCTTGCAAGGTTCTGGGATTTCTAAAACTTTCTCTCCCCTGCAGACTTTCTACCTTCTGCTCCTTTGCCTGGAGCACCCTTTGCCGGGTGAATTCCTGCTGGTCCCTCAGGGACTCTTCTGGGAAAGGCTCCGAGCTCCCTTCCCCTAGGCTGGGAGCCCTGCTGTGCGACCCCCCCTAGCCTCTGCTCTTCCCACCCCGCTCTCAGCACCCTGGACTGCCGGATCTGGGGGGCTCACTGCCACTGTGCTACACTCTGTCCCCCCAGAGCCAAGCACAGCTGCTCCCCCAGAGCAGGCACCTGGCAACTTACTAAATGCACTGGATTTGGCAGCAATTTTGTAGTAACATCCTTAACATCAAAAAGGCCTGCCCTGGCCGGCGCTGCTCAGTGACTAGAGCCTAGGCCTGTGCACGGAAGGGTCGAAGGGTTGCAGGTTCGATTCCTGGTCAAGGGCACGTACCTGGGTTGCAGATTCGATCCTGGGCACCGGTCAGGGTGTGTGAGGGAGGCAACCAATCGATGTTTCTGTCTCTCTCCCTCCCTCCCTTCTACTCTCTCTAAAAATCAGGGGGAAAAATATCCTCCCATGAGGATTAACCATGAGAAAAAAAAAAAGGGTCTGCATGCTTGACCTTGGGGGAAGGCTGTGTCTTCCTGTGCAGCCAGGCTTGGGGCTGGGGGCTGAGGAAGGGTCTCTGGGCTTCTGGCACTCTCGAATCTCCTGTTGATAGGCAGGCACGGGGTCTGGGACCCCAGGGGTAAGGGCCCAAGCTGTTTACATCACTCACCTCATTCTGTTGGCTCAGCTCAGTGCCTGGGGATTGGTCCCTGCTCTGAGTTACAATTAGGGACCTTGTCTGGTGCCCCTGGGCTGGAATCCCTCAGGATACGGCTGGACACCCCGTGATGGCCGGCGCCCACCAACCTCTCAGAGGCTGTGCCATATGCCTGGCTGTCCCTCTAGGGGCAGCCCTGCAGCCCAGCTGACTTCAGGGTCTGTTCCGCCACAGTGCCAGGGGAGGGGGTCTGTGCCAGGCCCTTTCTGCCACCT